AAATACTGCCGGTCAGATGTAAGATGAAAACAAGCAAATATTAAGGTAAGTCATGTATATAGAGGTTAGGAATGCTATGGTAGGTCATGTACAGTATATAGGAATTAGAATGAAAGAGTAAGAGAAATATTGTCAACAATAATTTGCTTTACAACAAATTCTGTAGTTTTCGTTTGTGAACCTTACAGCAGAAAAATACAAAATGAATTGTACATTGATCTCTGCTTCAAAAATTCCATAGTATCTGGCCTACTGGGTAATATTTTTTCAAAAAATAAATATTGCCTTTATGTAAACATGATTGTTAAAGCAATAAAATACTGCCGGTCAGATGTAAGATGAAAACAAGCAAATATTAAGGTAAGTCATGTATATAGAGGTTAGGAATGCTATGGTAAGTCATGTACAGTATATAAAGGAAAAAGAATGAAAGAGTAAGAAAAATATTGTCTACAATAATTTGCTTTACAACAAATTCTGTAGTTTTCGTTTGTGAACCTTACAGCAGAAAAATACAAAATGAATTGTACATTGATCTCTGCTTCAACAATTCCATAGTATCTGGCCTACTGGGTAATATTTTTTCAAAAAATAAATATTGCCTTGTATGTAAACATGATTGTTAAAGCAATAAAAGGTGCAGTCAACCATGTCAGTGTACACTGAATTCTCCCATTAACTACCAACACTATTTTGAATGTATTGTAAACCTTAGCGCCATGGATACCCACCACCTACTTAAGAATGTACTGCAAGTTATTGAGCAAAGATAAGATGTCTTACTGAAGGACACATCTGAATATGAAAGGTTTGAACCAAAGTTAGGAGGCTCAACATACACCATTCATTGATTTTGATTTTACTTGAATATTTTTCCACATCAAAAACTTGTGGGGGAAGCTAAACGTGTTTTTCATACTTTGAATAAACTTTTGTGCTATCCCTTAAAATGGACTGTTAATATCAATAACAGTTAAAAGTGTAATTACAATTAAATACTCAAAAAAATTAAAATTATACCTAATGTGTGTGAATTATCCAGGCACAATATATACAAAATTCATACAGGTTTGAATTAGGTTTAATTTCAAAATTGTTTTCTCAAGATGCAGACGAGGTAGAATTTTATTTTCTCTATTGTGTATATTTTGGTATGAAATATATAACACATAAAATTGTGTCCAGTGGGGTCATTCCAGTTGAGTTTGGGGCAGTATACTGGGAGATAATCCTCTACTCTTCCAAAGAGTGTACTGTTTTCTTTATCATGCACATGACTCATATTGGACCGTCTCTCATCTGATAGATAGAGCGCCATTGAACTTCTATTTCAGCTTTCGGGCAAAACTTAATACAGTTAGGCCTCCAATTTGGGAACACCTTTGGGACCTGTAAATTTTGGGTGGTCTGTCTCAGGCTTTGGTCTCCACATACAGTACTAGTAGAGGGTTAGCTCAGTGTAAACAGATGGAAAATTGTTATTTACTTTGAAAAAGTTGTCTTGAATTGGAGGGTGCACTGTATAGTAAGTAGTGGATGGAATTGAACTGGGGACCAAGGTTATGTAAAGATCTTAATGGTTTTTTTTTTTAATTTATCTATTTATTATAATGTATTGGGGAATATACAACAATGTAGTGATTGTACAATGTATTATTTATAGTGCATATTGTATTGACCATTCTTTCCCTCATGATTCTCCTATCCTAAAGCTCTGTGCACTATATCAAATACCATATATAGGCATGATGTGCTTATACAGTATGCATATGGTCATGATGTGATGTTTTTGTCAAATACAGATTGATAGTCCGAACAGGGCTTTAGATTGTTGATCCATTCTTTCTCTTTCCCTTTTCTTGACTTTGCAAAAGTGAATGATGTTCAATATTATTACATTTATATGTGCCCCTTTTTAGGCAATAGGGTCTGGAGCTAAGAGGTCTAAGGTCAACCCTCAGGTGTACTTCGACATAATTCTTTGCTGTACTTGCCGCAGCTGGGCTGTGAAGGAGTCTTATCCTATAAGCTTTCTGAAAATTCGCCCCCCCCCCCGGTCAGAGAA